GCTAGGGTCTGGAACCAGCTTCCAAGTGAGGTGGTGCAGGCTCCCACCCTGGGGGTTTTTAAGAGGAGGTTGGATGACCACCTTACTGGGGTCATTTGACCCCAGTACTCTTTCCTGCCATGGCGGGGTCGGACTAGATGATCTGCTCAGGTCCCTTCCGACCCTAGAAACTATGAAATTTGTAGAAATGCTGCATATGTCCCTTCTTTTATTTTTCAGTGCATTGCATTGATTTCTAACTACAGAGAAAGTCAAAGGAACCAGCCAATGCCTATCCTAATTTTTCAGTAAATATATTCTACCCAGATGTCAGTGCTATTGTGTGCGTGCAGTTACTTAAATTATCTTTGGTTAGATTGGCATATCTGTGGTTATAGGCTATAAGGTTCAGAAGTGTGCCCTCTATTTTATTAGGAAGCATAAAAATAAAACAGTACAGCACTAGGCAGACAGGCAGTGAAATATGCTTTTGATTTCACTTATGACTTGAATAACTCATTTGCAATGTAAAATAAAGCCTTACCACAGTTTGGGCGGTATCACAGACAAATGGTTCTTAAAGCCTTGCTGAAAACCTTAACCATTTTATAGGCTTTGAAGAATCTACATCACCGGACAGGCCACAGATTTTGCAGTCGGTGCGTTAAAGCCCCATGCTGTGTCAAATTTCACTCTCTGCAGTGACCCCTCCATTACCTCCTAGTAATACAAAATCCATACAGTGTTTTCCCTGATTTGGATCACAGGCACTGCCAGTCCTGTTGCTATTTTCTGAACTGTCTTTAAGAGTTTAGTCAAATTTGGGCGAATTGTGACACAAGATAATACATCAAAACCATCTAAATGTATGTCCAGGAAGGCACCAGAAAGATGAGAGGGGAAGAGCAGAAAATGGAGTTTGCTGTTCTTCTAGGAAGTGGGGATGAAAAGAGAAAATGTGATGGCACCACCCTCCAAGACGCAGATTGGAACAAAAGAACCTGTGCCAAGAAAGCTGATTTTTCTCTATATGCATATGTGGAGAAGTGAGTGATATTTTCTATGGTTTCTATACTTCCCCTGGGTTTCAGGCTGCAGCACTGTTTACGGTTTGTTTGTACAGTGTTATTACTACAGGCCTCCAACACAAGTCAATTGTGATTAAGCTTTTTTGCTTTAGTAAGAAAACCTCAAAGTTACGGTAATACCACTGAGTATATCAGAGTTTGCCTTCTTGACCGGCAAACCCAGCCTCACACTCAAGTTTTCTACTTTAAACTGACTGTCAGATGTACTGGGCCTAGAGGTCTATGATGCTTTGGGAGGCAATGTCTGCAACAGATACTGAAATCTATGCATTCTCTACTAAAGAATGTATGGATCTCTCCCCATGCCTGTTCAGGAACTGCCTTGCGAGCCAAACATGGAAGCAGAACTTTGAATACCAACTTTTTACAATAAATATTAGTGTTTTGAATGGACCTCAATGGACAGAATTGTCAGCTAGAAACGAAATAGCTAAAGGGCAAATGTAAACCCTTTTCACAGTACTGCAGATCCCGTCACAAAGCTAGCAACCACTTTGTATATAAGAAACCACAGTACCTTCTCCAGTAGGAAGAGCGATGTGCTTTGTGCTTAAGGCATTTAGTTGGGCTAGCACTGGGACATAATGCCAAGCTGGACTAGGTGCTCCCATAATAGAGATGGTTAACAAACAGTCCATGAGACAAGGGGAAGCATACGCTTTGAAAGGTAAAGGGATAGTTCACAGACTCAGAGAAGTATAGGGATGGAAGAGAGACCTCATGAGCTCATTGGGTCCAGCCCCCACTACTGTGGGCAGGAACGACTGCTGGGGTCAAATAACCCCAGCAAGGTTTGCATCTTAATTAAAATCTGAACTTCTCAAAATAGGTATAATGTTAACATTAGAATTTGCCAGGATGTTTATGGAAAACAATACTGGAAAGGAAATAAAGTTCACCTCACTTCACAACACCACAACTTTAGTCATTTTTTTTTTTTTAATCTTAAAAGAAACATCAATATATTTACTTGAGAATCTTCCCAGCAGTTGGCTGGTCCTGTCCCCAGTAGTAAAGATCTAATCCAAAAGGTATGATAGGAGCTTTAGCTCTCTCTTCTTCTTGTTTTGTTGCCTTACTGTCAGGCTCTCCTGAAGCTGTTGGCTCAGTACTTGCAGACACACTGGAGAAAGATTATAAAAAGTCAATAGAGAGCAATAACGATCACAACTGTTTCTCCGCTTTGATTAACCTTTCACACCAACACTTGCATTAGCTTAGATCCACTAGGACTTCCACTGCTTCTACTGGATTTGTTTTTTCAGGCTATAGCCTGCAAATACTGTAGTACAAGTCCAGAGTAATATACAGTTAAGCTTATCTGTACACTCCGCTCATGCTGGCTAAAAACATATTTTCCCAGTCTTGCAGGAGCCTAAAGGTCTATACGTGATGCAGCAATGGATCATACATGATGTACTATAACAGAAGCTACAGCAAGGATGGTGTTGCAAACTTAATTTAGAATTGTCTTGCTTCTGTAGATTTATGTCCATGTTTGTATTGTAGTTAAACGGGCTGCAACATCCTTTTTTTCTGTTCACTGTGTTCCATCTTATACACTTGCACCTTTGGGATGCTCAGCTAATATAAACATGGAATCAGTGGTGTTGCTGATGTCCCAAATTATAGAAGAATAAAAATTCATTAATAAAGAAAAATGAGACACGGGCAGGTGTGAAGTTTTCCTCTCCACCCAAACACCATACCTTCTAGTATCTTAGTGTAAAGAGATTTGGTTCATCATTAAATTGTTAGCTAATAACTAACTAGAGGAATGACAATTCAAGCTAATAGTACTAGTTATGTAGTGTTGGATAACAATTTTATTTGTCCCCAAATATGGAAGCATTACCATGCAGCGCCTAAGCAGTTCAGTTGCCCGCACAATGATGCTCTTAGTCACTTGCATTTTCACAAAGGGAAAGCGCTGTACTTCCTAGGCTCTTTGGAGAATTTAATCAGTACAGGGATGGCAAACTTCACGTTTCAGTTTCTAAGTTGAAAAAAAGGTGCGTGTGGGGGGGAGGGCGGTGAATAATTTATGTCAGGCTGCTAGTGTTTTCTACTGTAAGTGTCACTTTTGGAGACATCAAAACATTAACAAGTTACTGCAATTACAGCTAATGCAGGAGTCCACCATCACACACTTGCAAGCATGGCTTATATCAATCTACTGCTAAATCATATGCAGGACTGGAATTACAGCAAGCTCTGAATGGGACTGACAAAGCCAGTTCTTTGAAAACAAAATGACAGACTTCAAAAGATGGTATTTATCACTCAGTAAGTTACTAGGCAATCTGAGGGTTTTGAAACTATTTATCTTCTAACCTAGCCTTAAAATTATTATCTGCTCGGTGGCAAACCAAGCCATTCCCTGGCAAACCAAACCATTCCCCCAGTGAAAAGAATTATTATTTTTGGACAGGATCCACATGAAAAGATTTGCTGAAGATTCTCTAAATAATGATCAGCAAAGGCCAGAGGTCCAATCAATGTATGCACATCTGAGCATAAAGAAATTTTAATTTAAAATGCAAGTAAGCAGCATTGTATTGTAGCTTGCCTTATCTGTGGATATACCTTGGGGGAATACTGTTGTAACTAACAAAGCCAGGAAGACAGTGATGTTTCTAAAAAAAAATAAAATGATCACGACCTGGGGTCTAGGAGTGGGAACTGAGGTAGCTTATCTCGTAGAAGTTTCAGTGTTGCCGCTGCACATGTTGGATCGAGTTCCTCTTCATTCCTTTTTGGCTGGGACTGGGAGCTCAGAAAACTTGACCCCCCTGCTGGTTTTTTTCCTATTGGTTTTGGAGGCAACAGTGGATCTAGCCCTACAAAAAAGAACAGCATATTTAAGAGGAGAAAAACAAAAGTTTTAGACATGACATCTTACAACTATTCCAGAATCATTGTTTGGGAATGCTGGTGAAGGAGATGGGGGTATAACAACTATTTCACTACTTTCCAGTGCAGCAGCATCAATCATTTACCTTACCAATACAAGTACTAGTAGATGGGACTACATTTACTACAAAAGACTTATTCCGGTAGAAACAAATATTTGGACTATATCTGCAGTAAAACATTCTTGTGGCAGCGTACTGTATGACTAAAGAGTGATGTTACTTACAACCTGGAAAGGAAATTTAAATTAGAGATTTGTTTGAATTGCTATACTGTGTTTTTGTAGCGTTGGAGTGATGTTATAACCGTGATGGTCCAGGAATTATGCAAGAGACAAGGATTTTTGCAGGCCATCTCTCTTATTGGACCAACTGCATGGTTGGGATAGACTCAGACAAGCTTCTGAATGAAAAGCATTCTGAAATATGTCTTTATTCAACTAGAACACTCCAGCTGAAAAATGGAAATCATAAGAAAGTAGGGCTGGAAGGGACCTCACAAAGTCATTTCAAGCCCCCTGCTCAAGGCAGGGTCATCCCTGACTAAACCACCAGCCAAATGTCTGTTCAACCTGTTTTGAAAGCTTCCAAGGATGGGGATTCCACAACTTCTCTAAGTAGCCTGTTCCAATGCTTGACCGCCCTCATAGTCAGAAAGTTCCTCCTCATTCCCAACCTAAATTTCCCCTAGAGAGCTAGGGGAAAGGCTGTTGTTCCTAGTCCTGTCCCCTACAACCACAAAAAAAGCCCATAAGTAGACCATATCTTTGAAAGAGACACCCACATATTCTACAGCAGTGGTTTTTCAACCTTTTTTCATTCGCGGACCCCTAAAAAATTTCAAATAGAGGTGTGGACCCCTCTGAATTGTAAGTGTGGGTATTCACATACCTTTGATTCATCACAGTCGTCTTTCTCAGATCCTTTGACAGTTTGTGGACCCCAGAGGTCTGGGGATCAGAGGCTGAAAACCACTGCCCTACAGTAACTTGTTACTAAAACTAGAGGTGCACCAATATATCAGTCCCATATCATATTGGCACCAATAAAAGAAAAATTGACATTATCGGCAATTGTCTTTTTTTGGCCAATGTGGCCAATAATGTCACCGATAAATGCCGCGAGCACGCACGCAGACACAGCATGCACATGGCCAGGAATGCAGTCCAGCAGCTTGGAGAGCAGCGTCTGGCTGGTAAGTTGGGGGGGGGGCGGGCAGATCAAAGTCCCCATAGTGAGTGAGGGAACAGGGCAGGGGCAGGCGCTGCCCAGCCAGGGCAGGGTGGGGCAGGGCACAGGACAGATCTGTGGGTGGTTCATCTAGAAGGTGGGGTGGGGGGTGGCCCCTACCACTATGCACACCCCTGGGGGAGGCATGGGGGCATGTGCCCTCCCAGATTTGTGCACAGGGTGAGGGTGGGCAGTCTGCACCAGCCTCTTCCTGGCAGGGGGGCTGGGCCAGGGTAGGGCATGTGATTATAGCAAACTGTAGCCCACCCCATAGCTCCCCCTCCTAGTGCTGCCCCCCCACTGGGAAGAGGCTGGCGAAGCCCCTTTCCTTGAGCCGACAGCCTGTCCTTGCCCCACACACAGATCTGGGGGGCACATACCCCCCTTGCCTCTTCCAGGGATGCATGCAACAACAGGAGCTCCCACCCCCTCCTGCATGAGCTGCCCGTGACTCTGGCCTGTGCCCCACTCTGCTCCAGCTGGGGAGCACTTGCCCCTTCCCCATTCCCTCCCTCACCTTAGAGGCCTCGATCTGCCCTCCCTATGCCCCTTTCCTTCCCCACGCCCCTCCCCACCCCAGACTTACTGCCCAGATGCTGCTCTCCAAGCTGCCGGACTGCATATCGGCTATTGGATCGGTATCAGCCAATATGGCTGGTTAATAAATCAGCCATTGGTATCAGGTAAAAAAATCTTTATCAGTGCACCCCTAAAATACCCCCTCAAAACTGTGCAACAACACACTCCTAGTGGTCACTTACCTCCCCACTCTTGAAACAATTAGAAGAATCATCAAACAATCAGAGCCTACACTTGATAAAGATCAGACCTTTGGAGAAGTATTCCCAGGCCATCCACTCCTGGCTTTCAAACAACCCCCTGATGTTACCCAACCCATCACCAGAAGCAAACTTCCTCTGTTCAATAGACATCTAATGGGATGCAACTTTGCCTTAACAATAGATGTAAAACGTATCAAGACATCTCCATTGTTAAAATACTCAACACCCCACTCACCTAACAATGAATTCAACAGAATCAATGAATCTTCTAAGTCCTTTTCCCAAAAGATCGTACATCTGATCTAGTGCACCAAATGTCCTTATGGTAAATATGTGGGTAAAACTAGCCAAGAACTCTGCACCAGAATGAGCTTTCAGTGAAAAAATAGATTAATAGGTAATATGGTTGAAAGGGACCTCAGCAGACCATCACCGAAAGGATACAGACACACAAATACCAGTAGGAGCACACTTATCACAGAACAACTACTCCCTGAAATGCCTGGATTAACTAGCTCAGAGGGGCACAGTCAAATAGCCTGCCTGCTCTATGGCACTACAGCACCGCTTCTGATCACAAGGCAGCACATACAGAGCATGGCATCACTGCACATGGCGAGTGGTATAATACAGGCATGCCCTAAGCATATACACCTAAATGCCTACAAGGTTATAAGGCAGAAAGCAGGATCCTCACAACACTCAGAAGGAAGTGAGGATCTGCTGTTTTCTGGAGGCACGAACTAGTTGCTGAGTCAGCACCAGGGACAGATCTTCAGGAAGAAAAGAGACGCTACAGTGATGAAAGAAACAGAATGGTTTTATGCAGACAGATTAGACACTTGGTTTAAATTGGAATGGTATGATTAGATAAACCCTCCTGTCAGCTAGCACAGACCTCTGCAACTGAGCTAAAGCAGCAGCTCCATTAGCTGGTAGGAACAAGCACTTATTCTCAATGGCAACTAGCCACTACAGGCAAATCTGATCACCAACAAGCTACCCAGCATATAACGTTTTCACCTTTACAACAAATAAAGGAAGCTTTTGTATAAGATAAGTGACCTGAAATACAAGCTTGTAAAAGAACAAACAAAAGTCTATTGCTCTATAGGAATGAAACTGAGCAAACCATTGAAGTCTTCATTTGGAAAACATCCCACATTTGCTTTCACATTGGTTAGGATTTTCAACTCCCTTCCCACTTGTGGCATGCCTTGAATCCATATCTGGTGCTAGTGTAGCTCCATTAATTTGTCTTCACAAAGGTTGTGCTACCTTTGTGAAGATGATGGGGAAAAAAAAACAAACAAATAAAGCCCACTGTATACTTTGTATTTGCTGTGTAACAATTACCAGAGTACTTCTCAGAAGCGTTATACAAACTCTGTTGGCCTAAAATAGCAAACCTCCCAAAACAAAATCATACGCACCCAAAACATAGGAAATCTGCACAGTGAAAATGGGGAAAAGTGAAACCAGTAGGCAAGGGTGAGAGAGCAGCCTGTTATATACAGAAACTGAAAAACAAGATCCCGCATCATGTCTCAACAGTGATGAGAGGACTTGGAATAGAATTAATTCCTTCTATAACTAGATCCCACATTCAACAAATTTGGAGAAAATCACTAAGGCTCCACATTGCATCAGAACTGAATAAGCCATCAGGGCAGAACTCTGACATTATGTCCCCTCCCCCTAGGCTTTCCCTTTGTATTTAAATTCCTCTCTATTTTAAAATTTTTTCTTTCTACAAATCCAATCATAGTATCTGACGAAGTAGGCTAAAAAAATGCTTGTTCCTCTCTCCATCAGTCTCTCAGGTGCCACTTGCAGAAGCCCATGCAGTCGAGAAAGCAGGCTGCTCCATTCTGTACTAGACGGAGCTTCCAGATTCTCTTTAAGGGTCACTCCAAGTACTTTATCGTAGAAGCGACAAAGGCAGTGGGTAGACAAGGTTCTTTGGGCAGACATGTTACCTTTTGTTAGAAAATTGTTCTTTACAAGCTTATGGGCACAAACACCCTTCTTCAGGCATACAGAGAGTTTGCTGGTAAATTGTGTATGCACGTGCCAAGCTGCACATCTGAGAAAAACCTTATCTCCAGAACCAGAAAAGCTCTAACAAGACTCTCAAGTTGGAGAAACCTACTACAGAATTGAAACTAATGCACTAGTGTCTGTTACTGAATGCGACAGATGCATTGCTGGATGGCAACAGAAAAAACTATGGCACCACTCTCTCACTCCTTCCTACCTCCTACCACACCTTTCATTTGTCAACAGGAAGCAACAAACATGGTACACACTCAGCATACTTTGGATGATGGTCTGGTGAACGTGTTTGATGTGAGGACCTTAACAACCATAAAAACGTACTCATTTGCTTTGATATAAGCATTGCAAAATGGACTGAAAACTGGCTGAAAAACCATAGATAACAGTATGGATAATTAAAAGTAATAGGATGAAAATGAGCAGAAGAAAATCTAAGCTAAATATCAAGGAGAAAGGATCTTAACAGTGAAGCCCATTAGGCTGTGGAACAGTCTTTTAAAGAACCTGATACAGACTCAACACTGAAATTTAATTAAAAACAGCACTTCAGGACATGTCTACATGTTCAATTAATGTGCTTTAGGTAATGCACATTAAATCTCGAACCTCCAGGTACCTATACATGAGCAGCGAGGCTGCTCTGACACACTGGAATTCCAGCACGCCACAGCAGAGTTGACTGAGTCTAATGGAACATGGCAATTATTGCACTCCAGCAGCTTTCTGTCTTGTGTATCAGCGTTCCCGTGCTTAAAAATGGCAGTGGGGGCACATGAACTATAGCTCATCGAACAAACTTTAGCTCAAGTGCCCTGGCCACCATTTTCAAGTGCAGGAAGGCTAATACATAAGACCCTG